GACTTCATAACATAACAATAAATATTTAATTTTTTATTGGAACTGATGCAATTAGTTAAAAATAAGTTTTAGTAGCTTTGGAATAGAAATATATTTGACGGATAATTCAAAATTCAAAAATAGGTACATATGTTGAGGAAGTATTAGGATTTCTCTTACTTTCATACAGTTCCACAAGGCAACCAAAAACTATTTATAGTTTTAGTTTATATTCTTATAAACATTTAGTTACATGAAAATCCAATGGTGTTCTAAATAAAACACTAAAAGCTAAAATTCTACATAGGAGCGTTTAAAATTTTCTTGTTTCGACACCCAAGGTGTCATAGAAGTGAAGATGTCAACACAGAAAAAAAATATTTTGAAGAGCGTTACCTGTTTCAGAATGTTATGGCACGAATAATGTAAGTTACTTAATTTATTGTTGTTTGCTGACGATATTTAGTAAATAAATTAAATTAATCGAAAGGACTTAAAAGAATGAAATTGTAAAAAGTGCCCCAAAAAGGGATTTTTATTGAATAAAGTGAATGCACCACACTGAAGATAAATAACTTCACCTCATTTTGAGATCAAATGCATTTTATCTGATAAAGATCCTCTTTTTGGATTGGATACTTTTTTAAAAGTAATTATTTTCTAGAGAAAGCATTGGTCATTTGGAAGTTTTACTTTTTGATGATAGAGGTCAAGATATCGGAAGCAAATTAGTTGAAGCTGGTTGTGGCGACTTTAAAAACGAAAATATTATTCCACACAGAAAAAATCGCTTACTAATAGACTGACATTACAACAGAAACTAATAGAGCGTCTGTTTCTTTTTTTTTTATTAATACTTTAACGTCCGAGTAAATAAATAAATTCCTCTAGTTTATTGAAAATAGGTACTTATTATTGTATTTCTTTTATAAAACTTGTTACTTAGTACGAAATTATTTATTTTATTACAATTTTTTTCCTATTAAATATTTAATTTTTTATTGGAACTGATGCAATTAGTTAATAATAATTTTTAGTAGCTTTGGAATAGAAATATATATGAAGGATAATTCAAAATTCAAAAATAGGTACATATGTTGAGGAAGTATTAGGATTTCTCTTACTTTCATACAGTTCCACAAGGCAACCAAAAACTATTTATAGTTTTAGTTTATATTTTTATAAACATTTAGTTACATGAAAATCCAATGGTGTTCTAAATAAAACACTAAAAGCTAAAATTCTACATAGGAGCGTTTAAAATTTTCTTGTTTCGACACCCAAGGTGTCATAGTAAAAGACTGACTAGTTTTCGTGTGGAATTTGGAGCTTTACTGTTCTATTTAACATTTTGTTAATGACAAATGAATAGTTTATCTATCAGACTGTAGTTTTCTCCTTTTTAATTAATTTTACTGTGTAATCGATGCAATCATTTAATAATAAAGAGTTTTATTATCTTTGAAAGTAGTATTCTTTTACGAGCTCGTATAGAAGCCAAATAGCGAATAAAGTAAACCAAATTTTAATTCATTTGGTATTCACGAATAACGCTTTCGACTCTTCAAATATCAAATTAAACTTTGATAAAATAAATACTTATAAGAAAATTTATAATTTCAACAGAGACAATACCTCTTGGTTTGATCTTTGAAAACTATAATGTTATTTATAAACCATAAGGTTAAAAAGTTGGATTTTCACCGATAGTAAATTCTTCTACAAGTATTTATTTTATTTTCAATCTTATAAGCAGAAAGTTGTAATAATATTGTAGGACTTACCCTTTGAAATGAAATTACTCCATAAGCAAACAGCATCATTTGTAGTAATCACAAGCACCATATTTCACCAATGAAAATTATTTTGGACGGTTTTGCAAATATTATTATATTATTATCCTGTTAATTAACAATTTTCANCTATAAATTAATTTACTGTGTAGGTGTATGTTTTTAAATCAAATTGTCTGATCATGAGTATTAACGAAAACGACTCAGTCTGTCAAATAGCCGAAGAAATTTAATAAAAGTATTACTTAATCATTGTTAAGGGGATTTTTTTTAATAATTGTATGGACCATACGTCGAGCCTGTTGTGTAGTAAGGAGCAGGATAAGCCTGTGGAGGGGGTACAGCGTATCCTGCATACGCGTACTGCTGCTTTTGGGGGTAAACTGAAAAAATAAAAAAATATTTTAATCATGTATTATTAAAAGTGTCTTATAACAAAATAAAAATAAATGAAGATCGTGTATGAACTTAGGGTTTTGTAGTCATTAGGTATTAAAAAATAAACACAATACCTATACATTGTAAGTGGGCATTTTATAAATTGCAAATATTTTCTGAAAAAGGACTAAAGTAGAAAGAGCAAAGTCAGTAGAATAAAAAATACATAGGCAATTAAATAGTAATTAAATGCACTAATGAGATATTAAATGCTTTGGTTACTAATTACTCTCCTAACGTAAGATTAAGTTAGCAGGGTATGAGCGAAAAAACTATTTAAATAATGAATTCTTATACTTAGATTTTTTGGTCATAGTAATTAAATGCTCATTAAATGTTATCCAAACAGACGAGTTGCGAATTAAATGTTCTAATTTGTTTTAAGCAAATATTAAATTAGCACAGCATAAGCAAAAAAAATATTTAAACAATGAGTACTTACAGTTTTTTTTGTTATAGTGATTAAGTGCTTATTAAATGCTACCCAAACAGACCAGTTGCTAATTAAATGGTCTAATTTTTTTCAAGCAAATAAAAGACTTCATAACATAACAATAGGTACGTTAGCATGCAAGGATCAAAAACAGGTTTAGGCAAGGAAATTCACTGTTTCAGTTATGAACTCTTTAAAGGCTAATTAAATGCCAAAATGACTAATTAAATACTTCGGGCAGTTTATTGAAAAATCTTTGTTCTCCTAGCTTAATATTTAGTTAGCAGAACATGAGCAAAAAAGTTATTCAGACAATGGATACTTACAGCTTTTTTGGTTATAGTGATTAAATGCTCATTAAATGCTATCCAAACACACAAGTTGCTAATTAAATGGTCTAATTTTTTTCAAGCAAATAAAAGACTTCATAACATAACAATAGGTACGTTAGCATGCAAGGATCAAAAACAGGTTTAGGCAAGGAAATTCACTGTTTCAGTTATGAACTCTTTAAAGGCTAATTAAATGCCAAAATGACTAATTAAATACTTCGGGCAGTTTATTGAAAAATCTTTGTTCTCCTAGCTTAATATTTAGTTAGCAGAACATGAGCAAAAAAGTTATTCAGACAATGGATACTTACAGCTTTTTTGGTTATAGTGATTAAATGCTCATTAAATGCTATCCAAACACACAAGTTGCTAATTAAATGGTCTAATTTTTTTCAAGCAAATAAAAGACTTCAAAACTTCGACAATTGGTACGTTAGCATGCAAGGATCAAAAATAGGTTTAAGTAAGTAAAATTACTGTTCAGTCATTTACTGTTTAATGGCTAATTAAGTGCCCCAATTATAAATTAAATGCTCCGGGAATTTATTTAAACAAAAAATTCTGAATAATACTTATATAGCTTGCAGAAATTTTATGGAAATAACAAATTCAAGATCTAATTAGGTGTAATATGAATCGAGTCTGTTGTTAACTTAACTTGTCGAGTGTTAAATTAACACAATTGCAATTCATTTACGCTTAAATGAAGAATAATTAACTCCTTACATTCAGCATGTACAAATATAATGATTCTTCATTTATTTTTATTGTAAGGATAGTTTTTGGAAGTTAATTAGATAGGTACAAAGGGTACATAGGGCTAAAAAATTATGACATCCTTGTAGTTTAGTTTAAAACCTGCAGTAAAGGGTAAATTGTTACGGTTAAGGCTTAATATGTATTATTGCAAGACGACCTTTAACGAACTGTTTTTCCTCTGCAACCAATCCCAGCAAAATGTTTCCCAAAATTCCGCATGTATAATAATATAATACGGGGTTCAACCTTCAATTTTACGTGACACGACCTTCATTATTTTACAGTGGTACTAAAATTATAAAATATAGCGGTACTTTGTTAGGCAGTTACTAAAGTGATTGGTATTTATTGCTATGCGTGTGAAAAACTGCTATTATTATACCATTTCTGGAGAAAGTAAAAGTAAAAGAAAAAAACGAGACTTAGCTTCTCCTTAAGACAGTGGCGGCGCATAAATGTTAGCGGATGACGAAAATATCGTGGATAGAGACGGTTATAGATGAGGAGGTAGTAGAAAGAGTAGGAGAACAGAGGGCGGTATGGAATTAAGTAAGGAGAAGGGGTTATAGAATAATAGACATAGAGGGTTGGTTAGAGACATATTAGAGGCAGAAACAGGAGTAAAGAGGGGCAGAATATAGGGAAGAATTTATGCTTTTGCCTGATTTGTGTTAAAAATGCCATTAAAAATGTTCTTTTTAAACAGCTCTACCTTTCTGAGGATACTGAATATGACAATGGTCGAAACGCTGTGTGAAAACAGTCTCGTTAATTTTTGTTACTTCTTTCCCGTTTCCCATTATAGGTAGGTACTATGTACTCTAAGGGGGGGGGGCGAATTCTAAATCCAAAAAAAAGAAGCGTGCGCTATTCTGAAGCTACGCTAGGTGCAACATCAGCAGGGGTGGGGGCGATGTCGATGTTAGGTTAGGTTACCGGGCATCAAGTATTGCATGTTGATGGCCTCCTCCCGTTCCCGTTCGCCTCTCAGACAGACGGCGGCTCCGGAGAACAGAACAGCCCCTAGCAACGACCATCCCACCCCGACCCACGCGAGCGCGTAGCTCCAGTCGTAGAATGTCCTTGCGTTTTCGCGTAGCACCTATAAAAAAGATAGAAATGCGAATTTTCGAATGAAAACTTCCAACGAACCTGGCATTATGTATTGCACGTTGTTCAGTTGTTCACGTTCTTTCTCGCTGCCTAGGCAGCAGGCGCCGAACACGAACAAAAACGACGAACACAGCGAAAACATCACACCCAGCCATGCAAGCACGAAACTCCAGTCGTAAGATGTCGTTGTGTATTCTTGCAGGATCTGCGCATGCGTATTAAACATTTCAATAAAACAAATCAGAATATCAATACTGCTAGACAATTAAGAAAGTATTGCTGTTTTCGGTATACGTCTAGGTGTTATAATCTCAAGCAAAGAGGTTAAGGGTGTTTTAATGATTTAAACTGCGGTTATACAATATTCCTGTTCACGATACCTATTGCGATCTGTCAGATGGGCGGAGCTTAAAAAACATGGCTGAAACAAGTACGTGAAATAGTTCACGCCTTGAACTACCAGATGTCGCATCTTCATCTGACGGATCCCAATAGCTAAACGTTAACTATCCGAATACCAAATGTAATATTTGACCATCTCACTTAATGTTTAGCCGTATTTTACAGATAGGCTTTGACATCAATATCGTGTTGGTTCTGCATATCCGTTACTTTCTTTTGTGCCAACATTGACAGTCAGTAATCTTTGATGTTTAAGGAATTTTAAGAAATTATATTTAATATTATATTTCGCATTAAATTTAAAACAAAAAAGATTTTACTTACGGAATTCCATTGTTGATAATATTCTTCTCCTACCACCTTCTCTTTTTCATAAAATTCAACTGCATGCCATAGACCCATGGCCCCCGCACTCAGCAAACCTAAAATTCGTTATTATACTTTAAAATTAACAACAGTAGAACGTAGCTGCTCAATTCAAATTACATATATTTTTTTTTTTGTAAAGGTGCCCTTATTTCAAATTTACACGATGCACTTGCTAAATACACTTGGTGTGTTCGATTATTTTTTTGTCTATTTGGTATATTAGTTGTTTAATTTTCAAAAATTCAAAATTAATTTTATTGTATCAATAATTTACTTAAGAAGGGAGTGACTCATGGATGCACACTGTTATCGCTACTTTTTAATCTATAAATTGAAAACGCAATCAATATCATTAAAGACAGTGCAACTGTAGGGATAAATATAGAGGATCAAAAGATTAGTATGCTTAGATTTGCAGATGATATAGCAGTATTAGCATCTAGCAAGGAGGACCTAGAGATAGCTTTAAATAAAATGGAAGCGG